AAGTGGACAGTTTTCCTGAACAGAGTGTAACCTGTCATTGGTACGACCTGTTACTGGGTTTAGCTGAGTTTTATCAAGCCAGAATGAGCTCCTGGCTCCAGGTTTAGTAAGCACTGTTCATCTTCCTAAGAGGTTTTCAATTTGCTGGCAACAGATAACATTTACACTTTCTACCCAAAGGCATCTTTAGAGATACAACTGAGAAATAACTCATTCTTATATCAAATAGAAAACAATTTGTATTACCAAGTTCACTATATTTAACGACACAATTAAACCTGACTAAAGCACATCAAGAATTAAACAAAACAGCCTGAACAAGAATATTTTGAAAGAGCCCAGAATGTTCCTTTTTCACTTTTTCCTTCTTTTAGAAACAGTGGGCACTTGTTATAATCCACATTCACAATCCCAATTAAAAAAAAAAAAAAAAAAGATAAATCTGAATGCCTTCTTTAGATTTCTATAATAAAAGACAATACTCCTTGGGAATATTTCTGATTCAAAATCAGGTGGACAAACAGCATCAATAGTTTATGACTTTGAGAGCACTGCAACGCAGAATGACATGAAAATACCTTTGGATCTGTTTTCCAGCGTTAGTGTATTTGTGCAGCCTCAAAATGCAGTTCACTTTAGCTCTGAAGGAATTTACGCTGCTTCACGAGGAGAAGAGGCAGAGTGCAGAAATGTTCTCCCCTTGCAAGTTCTCCTCGGCTGCAAATCGGCGCGGTATCGTCCACCATAAAAAGGGGAGTAGATTTTACTGATGATTTGGGGAAAATGTATTTTGACGTCTGAAGACGTCTGAAGAGTTCATTAAAAAGTTAGAATATTTGACTGTTGTAGAAGCCTTTTTTAGTAAGATAAAACAAAGAGGAGCTGCACTGCCGACAAATCACAGTATCGCTTCTCCACTCCGGCAAAGCAGAAGGCAGAAGCGGGCAGGCAGGAGACGGCTCGGTGTGCTGCAGGAGGGAAAGGGAATGCGCTGGTTCCCAAATTAATTTTACCATTTTGCTTAGGATTCAAATGAGGAAATTCAAGTTCTGAAGGGGCGTGCAGCTTTAACTCCCGCTCAGCAGAATTACAAATGGAATCGTTTGGTCCTAGAGCAGGAGAAGCAGCGAAGATCCCTTCTGCTCTTTGACTAGAAAGTTTTTTCTAAAACTCTCACCAAGTTCTTTTTAAACTTCACCTAAAATGTGCAAAGTTCTTATTAAGTAGATGGCACATAGAATAATACACCTGCTTTAAAATTCTCTATAGCATCGATCCCCAAGCTTCAGTTTAGAGAAATCATGCATGATGAGAGAATTTTGGACGATCATGTGAAGAGGTGAAATAAACAACTGAATCTTAAATTCCCTGAGAGCCTCAGGGTAGACCTACACCCAGCTGTAAAGCAATGAAGGGCAGTGGTCAGAGGAGATCTTCTGAACCTCTGAGGTTCACAGCACAGCCTCCATCTTCATTTGCCTCATGCCCCAAACAGTACGGGTTTTGTTACCACACATCCCCAGGCCAATGGAACCATTCTCTCATGCTTCATTATCTAGGGAGTATATCACAAGAAAAAGGTAAAAAAAAAAAAGGTTACAGCTATTTGGATATGTCAGTACACTAAAGCTGATGGAGAGAAGCAGCACACAGAAGTGTATTTCATCTTTTCATTGAAGAGACACTTTGATAGCCACAAGCGTGTGCCGCACGTGTATATACTGACTAGATAAAATCTGAACATACAAAGCCTATTTTGAATGATCTTGTCATTAGTGGCCAAGTTATGCTTTCTGTTACCCCCCCCCAAACAGGGCTCTTTCTAAGTCTAGCCTTATTTGTGAATCTACAGATCCTAAAAATCTTCTTGTTCGAGAACAAATGGCAAATCTGCCTAGAGCCACATCTAAAGCTCATCAACTGTATGCATTTCAGAACTGCAATATTAGCCTTTTTCAGTCTTGATGATATTTTAAACTGCCTTAACTACACATAATACTCTGTTGTATGAAAGACTAGGCTGCAGCAAAGGCTTACTAGTAGAAAATGAGAAACCTACATGGCCAAGGATACACACCTTCTCATATTTACAAAAGAAAGTGTTTCCAAAACTCACTTTATTAGAAAAGAGAGGGTGGAAAAAAAGAGCAAATGATATTTGAAATTGTTATAAAGATCAAAACAGTGAAAAAATCAGTTTGACTAGCTATCAACTATCGCAGATGTAGGAAGAAATGCAGCATAGCATTAGGCGACAAGATTCGTTTGGTCAACTGAAGTTGTACCTAGGCAGATGACAAATCTAATGAAATGTTAAAATCCTGATTTTTTCCTACAAATTTGTCCTGCTGTCTCTGTTCCAGACTTATAATTTAGCTCCACTTTTATACTCCCATTGGGCTCTGCAGGGCTGGTTTCATCCCTAGGAAGGAACGGTTTTGATAAAGAATTCTGGGTATATCCTGCAACAAACCTCTAAAATATCTTTTTCAAAGCTTTCACTGCGCTTTGCTTCTTTTTTTTTAGAAGAAAGGTTTAGCCTGTAAGAGAAATCCACAAACAGCTATAGGATTATTCTCATTTTCCTTTGTAGCCCAGACAGTTTTGATGGATTGCTGGTATTTTGGACATTTGGACTGTTACTTGCTCCGTAGCATAGACTGCCAGTCCCCTACCCGAGCTGTACTTCAGATTAAGTTGTTTCCTTCTGCTCTACTGTTCTGACAGAAACGGAATACAAAAGGGAGAGCCCAAGAGATCTGCTTGGGGTGAAACTAAGCCCAGAAAAGGAATTTTGCGTCTTTAGAGAGATCTGCGTGGAATCAAAATTTCTGGAATTGAATAGATCGCTTCTGCAGATGTCTTTGGGGGAAAAAAAGATTAATCCCTCTACGGAATGATAGAGAGCTACAGACACAGAAATGCTTTCAAAACACAAGCATTTAATTTGTCGAAATGTTAAGAGAGATGTAAATAACGGACGTTAGCATCAAAGTGCTCAAAAAGCATACTGAAAACATATTCCGTACAGTTAGCAACAGAAGTCTGTGCAAAAGTAATAAAGTTACACATTATAAAAAATACTCCGTAACTATCATTTAAAAGAGGGGATTAAAAAAAAAAAAAAAAAAAAAAAGGAAAAAAAAAAAGACAAGGGAATTGATTTCTCAGTTCATATAATTTATTGCAGTTAGCACACAGTTTAAAAATTCACCAACACACCAATAGTACAAAACTAAACAGCATTATAAGTTATTCCCCCCTCAGGAAAATAAAACATACTATGATTGTCAAAGCTAGATGTCAGTCTAAGTTTTAGAACAAAAGAAGAATGTGAAACTAATAAAAGGAAAAAAGCAATCACTCACAAGGACCACAAAAAAATCCAAGAGAAAGTCCATTTTTTTTTCTCAGACACTGATTGTCTTCTCTAAATTAATAAAAGAATGTATTTTTAAACCTAGAAACTATTCAAGTAACTAAAGATAACGCTCCAAGGCCATTTTCACAGCTTTTTTTTGTTTTGTTTTAAATGCCATTACAGCCAAATTAACACACATTTGACCAAATATTTCCAAAACAGTCCAGCAATACACAATGGAGTTTTCCATTCAGTATCTTAAGCACAAAAATAGGCTATGTTTACAGTAGTTAAGGCGATCAAATTTTAAACAAAAGCAGAAAAAAAAAGGAAAAACAGCAAACGTTTTCCATGCTACTCCCATAGACCTTATTTGTAAGTGCAAGACAGGAAAACAAACACTGTGCAAAATGCTTTTGACCTGCGTGTTGGTCATTAAAACCACACGTCAGGCTGCAGTCTCTGCTGCTTGGATACACAGAGCCCTCTACCCTCCCCCGGCCCCCCCCCTCCCCCGTCAATCAGGGCTTTCCAGTCCTTTCAGCCCGGGGCTTTTTCAGTCCACAGACCCTTTTCAAGGGGGGAAAAAGAATGACCTATTGTGGATGTGTACAGCAGGAATCCTAAAAATGCTCATCTGGGTAAATGTATGCACCTAAAGTTGGAGCTGGCGTGGGGTTTGTGCAATTAGAAGGTTTTCTTTTAATGAATGCACACTGCACATGCAAATCTTTAAGCCTGTTTGTAAACATTCATATTTTCCTTGTTACGTAGCTAAATTGTCAACTCGTAGCTTAAGTTTTTCTCAACTGAAAGACAGTGGGAAGGAAAATTTAAATTATATAAAATAAAAACAGTGCATTTACGTTCTTCATAACACCGGCATTTTCAACGGTGCTTTTTTCCTAAGGAAATTAAATAATTTTAAACTCACTCATTAAAGTTATACAATGCAAACAAAGACAAAAATATACTGAAACTCATGCATTTCTGTAGCGTTAATATTTACTTTTCAAGACTCAACTAAGAGCATCAACACAACCTGCCAAGTTCTTTGATACCTCCCCCCGGCCCATGTAATCAATTACAGTATACAATAACAGTAATTCACATTTTTTAAACACACAGTTCATCACTGCTGAAGCTGCAATATCCTTTTTCATCCCAAGCAAACCTTCATATAAGACAGAGTCCCAGTGATCCCAGTGTACTCTCAGGGTTTTTGTTTTGTGGTTTTTTTTTTTTTCTTGTTGTTTTTTTTATTATTATTATATTTTTTTTTCCAGTGGGAACTGTCAGAAATCCAGAAGTTGCCATAATAAGTTTTAAGTCAACCACTTGTTTAAAAATAGATAATCCAGCATTTCAGAAATTTTCCATTTGGGTCTAAAAGCATTCAGGTTTCCAACAGCTAGAAAGAATTCATGCAATTAGAAAAAAAATGTAAAGGAACTGATAAAATCGGGAAAGGATTTCTACATTCAGATTTCGAAAGGAAAATTATCTAGAGCTGAAAATAACGCAGCGTTTTGGGGAGAACAAAGCCATGTCAACATTTTCAAATTGGAGATTCTTTAAAATTAAAGTATCCGCTGGCTTCTAGTCCAAAAAAAGGGGAAAAAATACGCTCCGATGCTTATTACTTCACCACGTTACCTCTAAAGTTCCGTTTTATCAGAGTGCTAAATTAGTGAAATATTCATGCTGCCTTAAAGTGCAAAAACAAGCTAATAGCCAAACTTTCAGTTCAAGGAAACAAGATTGCTTTTAGACTGTACCACAACTATATAGATTTATATATATATTATTTATATATATAAAAATTTTATTTCCAAAGTTCTTGTGAGCTATCTTCTAAGGTCCAGTCTCTGACAGTAGGTAAGCTCAGTGCTTCGCTTTTGACAGACAATGAGTTCACCAACTCACAGTGAAACTTCCGAATGTGTCTGTAAAGGTCTCCGGACTGCGTGAACCTGCGCTCACACCACTTACAAGCGTGTGGCTTCTCCCGCGTGTGAACCACTGCGTGGCGGCTCAGGTTGTGGGAGTACTGGAAGCTCTTCCCACACTGGGTGCAAGTGTAGGGCTTTTCACCTGAATGAGTCCTCTCATGACGTTTCAAGGTGTACATGCAAGAAAAAGTCTTACCACACAGCGAGCAGGTGGGGACATTGACATCGGTAGCAGGCTTGCTGCGGATCCCGTCCTGCTCTCGAAAGTGCGTGCTTAAATGGATCTGCAGAATGTGGGGACTAGGAAAGACTTTGTTGCACAGAGGACACATAAAAATTTGGCCAGCGGGGCTGAGTATGTTTGACACGTAAGGGAGCAAGCTGCTGTCCATGTTTCCTTCCACCTGGACTCGCTCGTTCTCTGGAGTTATCATTTCGTCATCACTTGCCTTGTCCTCTCTATCTAGCTCCCTCAAGACCGAATCTTCCCTCATCGGAGCCAGATGGGCCGGCTCGTACGGTACCCTGTTATTAGTGCTCACACTTTCTTTCACAGTGCTATGTTCCATATCATAGTCATTAGTGCCAACATCACTCTCATCACAGGAAGCCTCTTTCTCCACCTTCACCTGAACCAGGCTGCTTCTAAGCATGTCCTGCGAAGAGAAATAAGAACTGTTCAAATTTTCAACTCCTGAAAGGCTGGACTTGACAGACAGGTCCAGCACGCAGTCAACATCTGCTGAATCCCTCACGGAGGTGACAGACCTCTGGGACAAAGACTCTGTTGAACTGCAGGGGCTGGCTACTGTTTTTCCAGCTGCTGTTGCGTGTGTCTCTGCCTCTCCGCCAGTCTGGGGAATGCCTGCTGAGTCTGAGGGCAATCTCATCCACATGTTCCCAGGCTCGGCCGCCAAGTCTCTTTTGCTAGGCAGGATGTTCAATTTTTCATCTTCTCCTTCGTCTTCATCGCTGGGCAAGTCTCCTGGCATGTGGCTGCTGCCATCGGAGAGGCTTTCCACTTTGTCTGAGCAACTTGAGGCGTCTTCCTCCTTTTTAGTACTGTCTGCCTCCGTGGTTGCTTTCTCTTTCAGCTTCTTTTTGCAGACTTTGACAATGTCATACATGTGGAGATAACTGGCAGCTGCTAGCACGTCTTCAATGGGCAAGTCTTTGAACTGGAGTTTTCCTTCGTACATGAATTCAAGCAGGAGAGCGAAAGCTGGGGCTGTAACAATGTCGCTGTTCAGATGAACAATGTCTCTTTTGTCCAGCTGGTCCTTGTAAAAGAGGTGGAAATACATGCTGCATGAAGCCAGTACAGCTCTGTGCGCTCGGAACTGGGCATCTCCTACCAGAACAGTGCAATCACAAAGAAAACCCTGATGTCTCTGCTCACTCAGACACTGTAGCAAATGTCTACTGTGGTCAGGAAACTCCATGCTGTCTTCATAACCTAGAAAGTAATAAGATTTTTCAAAATTACACGCGGCTCAGAACAACAGAACTTAGGAACCCAAGTTATTCCACTCTGAAAGCCCAGCGTTCCTACTGCCAGAATTCTGACACCGCCACTACGCGAGGATTATTTAACGCGGACGTACAATGGCCTCTCTTTCCCCAATCAATCACTGAAGTTCTGCTTTCCCCTCACTCCGAAATAAGCCATTCTAATAAGCGCTTAGCTACTATTTGTATACTTTTTTTTTTTTTTTAAAGTACCACCTCTGTTCATAAAATCTGTTCAACAGTTATTTTCTTTCCTTTCTCGAGGAACTTCCTCCAGATTGTGTCCCCAGCAGGACTGACTAAAATAAAAAAAATTTAAAAAAAATCTTTTTTTTTTTTTTAAACGCTAAGTTTGAGAGATCACAGAAGGAAAAAGAAATTAAAAAAATCAGGTGATGAACGTTCTTTCTAAAGCTAAACTGTAATAGGAGAGTTTTGTGTATGAAGAAATGTTAACTGCCCAAACCTGAAGGTCCAGCATTCATAAAGAGTATGAACTGACAGGGGTAAAGAATTTTTATTGATAGAAAAATCAAGTTTTTTTAGAAACCTGGCCTGCACTGCATTCTCTTCCTGGTAGGTACTGTTTCAGGTTTGGAACCTTCTCCACACTGTACAAGAGAAAATAAAATGCTTTTTTGCTAAGGTGCAGAATTTGCAAAAGGAAAAGAAAACTATCAGTTAAAATGCCATTGAGCACTGCTTCCCCTGTGCAGAAGGACAGAAATTTCCCTCCCCTCCCACACCACACTGAGTTTGCAGTACCAAACTTTAAAAAAAAAAAAAAAAAAGCCATTCAACATGAGCGTGTGTGCACATTTAAAAGGAGTATCCTGAGTGCTGTGCTTACCCAAGTCTTTTTCTATTCACCCTCTCTGATGATGCAAAAAAAAAAAAAAAAAAAAAAAAAATCCAACAAAAAAACCAACAAACCAAACTTCAAAGAAGTAGAAAAGTCAGAATTCAAACAGAAAGTAAAATCTCCTAAAACCCTGTCTCAACCTATTCTTCTGTGACTGCTGGCAACACTCTTCCAAACCATCCAAACACACCGTGGCTCTCTGGGCTGGCAGATATTGCTGAAAAATGCCCATCCCCGGCAAAGCGAGATGTGCTGAAACTTACAGCACAACCCTGGCTATATTCTGTAAAATACCACCGCTAGAGTAAAGCACGAAGATTTACAATACAATCACTTTAAGTGCCCCACAGCCAACATCAATCCTAATCCTTAAGAGGGCTAAAAATAAAGATTGGAGGGCAGCTCACAAGGTAGCTGTGATCAAATTAGGAGGCTGAAAGGACAGAGAGGGACGAAGAAGGAAGCTTATAAACATCTGATCCAGCTGACTGTGGCCATATGGCAGCTGCTGCCCAGATAAAGAGATTAAGAATAGAGGAGTGCGATTACAGCTGTCTGGCCAATTCAGGCAGCTCAAATCTACAAGTTCTAAATTAGTCGCAAATACAAAAACTCCTTCAAATAATTATTGTTATGCCGGAATAAAAGATTGCAAATGCTACAGGCGAGAAAGAAAGGAGGAAACCAGTCAGGCTATTCTCCCAGGTACAAAAGTTTCTAAACACACAAGTGATTTCTATCTTTCAGAAGCACTCCAGCTGTATGCTCCCACAGTTCCGGGCTGCTGGCTATTTAACCACCAAGCGCAGTGAGAGCCTTCACAACAAACACGGTTCAGCCAGAACGGTTCTTTTTAAAAGCACGCTCGTGTCTATTTCACCAAAAATCCCCAGCAAGTCATCCTAAAGATGCAGCACAAAAGCATAAAGCAGAACTCCCGTTAGCTCGCCTCCGAATGCATTTCGGTTTTGGTCTCAGAAATTGAGAACGAAGTTGCTCTCGTCACATCCTAAAACCAGAAATTTTCTTCTCACGATACGCATTAAAGTTAATTCTATCCATGTGCATCAAACCGATACTCTCAAACTGCAGCCCCAGCCTTTTTGACCAAGTTCACTTATCTGCTTAATACTCAATTTCATATATTACCTCCAAACTTGGTTAGAAAAGTAATGTGATTTTTCCTGAAATTCAATAAACAACACACCAAAACAGAAAGATGCTGTATCTAATCTATTGCTACTCCTACCTTTAGTACACATAAACCTGATTAAGTCCTTTCCTCTGAGTCTCGCTGGCTCCAGGTCTGTTAGATCGGTGGAAAAAAAGCAGACTGGGAGAGACAGATGCAAAGTGGAGATGATGTTAGAGAGGAATGAGATACCTTCTCCACACACAGATCTGCACACACTAACTCCCTGTCTGTGTGTTAGAATAAAAGGCTGAGGGATGGCAGGCTGTCAGCTGCTCTGACATCATGTTCAGATGGAAATGCTACCTCCAGCTGTGCTCCTTTTAATGCCATATGCTACTCCTCTACACTCCTGCCACCAGCTTTTTCTTAGGAGAACTTTTCTCTTCTGTTAGTATAAACAAAATACTTCAAAGTCTCTCTTTTTTTTTTTTTTTTTCCCCAAACTTTCGAACAGGGGGGAAGAAAAAAAAAAAAAAAAGAAAGAAAATCCTCAACATATGGGGCTCCGCCGCGCTCGCGGCACATCGACACTTCTGCCTCAACTTGGAGGGCTGCTCCGCCCGCCGACAGCGCGCCGAGCCCCGGCTCGCCGACCCCGCGCCGCCCGGCTCCGCGGAACCGCCGCTCCGCGCTCCCCGCCCCGGGCCGCGCCCGCGCCGCCACCTCCCCGCCCGGGACGCGCCCCGAGCCGCCGGCCCCGGCCCTCCCCGCAACTTCCCGGGGCCGCGGG